GAACGCACCAATGCATATCAGAGTATATTTGAAGCGTTTATTTTGGGTTCTGGGTGGGTATTTCATCGAGTCGAACGACGATGGCACTTGTCTGCTTGCTAGACCAACGAATATCCTCTAAATCCAACAGAATAAGAACTAAGCAACCATAACAATATCCACAGTTTCTGATGTCTTCAACGAAAATGTTTGTTTTCAACATTTTACACTCACACACACCCAAACACCCAAAATATTCGACCGAGTGCCAATGTCGTCGCCACGGCAGCCAACCATCATGATAATATAGTATGTGTGTAATGGTTGATCCATCGCTTTCGATGCGAACATATTTTCATACACCGAATCTCACCATTGCACAGGAAAATCATCTTGAGCCATCAAATGCAAACGAAATTTTGAAATATCAGCCAGCAGAAATGCAATAAAACTCCGATTCGCTTACGAAAATTTATTTGCACAGATACACAAACGCATTCACACACACACATAGACACAGAGGCACACACAGCATATCGTTCTGAAGATGTCATCATCTCAAGAGAGCTGCTAGCAGGGAAAAGAAAAATCTGAACTTCTTGCATGCGATGTGCATCATTGTCTTGTTTGCATTTATGGCATACAAGCAAAAGCGAAATGATTCCATCGAGATGCCGAATGTGCAAGTACTTTGAAGCCAGAATGAATCATGACATAATGCAAAATCAAGTAGAAAATCAAATGAGATGAGAAATAAACGAACACGACAACTGTGTGCATAAGCGAAAATATAGAGAAATGGAAGGAAAATCGATGTAAAACGACAAAAAGGAAGCAGAAAAAAAACATCAAAATACATGTCGAATTTTATCGAAACTTCTCTGCACATTTACATATTTTGTGAAAAAGAATGCGAGAGAAAATGGGTTGCGTTTTGAATATAATGTAAAAAAGTTCTCGAAATCGATCCACTTTCCAAGCAGATATTAGATATTGCGAAATAGTTGGAATGTCGTATATTGAGCTCTGCTTGTAAAATCGATTAACTTACATTACTTTCTTCATCGGTTTCTTTCAGCATACGTCTAATTAATGAAATTTCTTGTGGCGCCACCAAGAACCAAATCAAAAATAAATTAGATTTTTTTCTCTGTCCTTTATCCCATTTGCTCGATGCAATCATTTCCATATGAACATACTTTCCCCGGCACTCCACTTATCACAGCATCTTACGTCGTGCACATATGCGCGCCGCTCATACGACAATGGCTACGGAAAAAAAGTGTATGAGAAGAAAGAAAAACATGCCTGCAGTGTAAATAATTGCATTGAAGTATCGGCAGCAGTCGGGGATGAAGCGAAGGCATTGAAAAAACAATTCGCCTGAGCAAATTTGCATGTTTCGATCGTTCCATTGTATGCAATTTTTTTCTCTCTCTCTCTCTCTCTCTTTCTCTCTCTCTCTCCGTCACTCACTGTTTTTATTCAACATCGTTTGACTTTGTCGATAAATTGATTGAATCTTTATCGCTCGAGTGTTTTTTCGAGCTGCTGGTGCTGGTGCTGGTGCTGGTGCTGCTTTTGTGTTGAAGCTGTTTGCATTTTCTTTTCATTCGACAATTATTTGCATCGTCTTCGTTGGTACAATATGGAAATTCTTAAGAAGCCAAAGCATCATAATGACTCTCGGTCTCTCTGGCTTGAAAGACGATGCAGAGATTTTTTTTCTCTTTCTGCTACACCATTTCATGTTCAAAAGGATCGAGTCGATTTTATGCATGGGCTGAATACAATTTGCATTTATCGCAAACTCAGATCCACCGCATAAGAAGAGCCAAGAATGTTCACAAATGACAATAGACACACACACACACCCCAAGCTGCAAAAAGGACATCAGCGACATGAAAAAAGCGCACCAGAAAAAACGGGAGAAAAAAAACAAATATGCGGAAAATGAAGCGTGTATGTTTTGAAAACGCAATAGTTTCAATGACGTTATCTTTTCGCATATTTGCAACAATAGCCGTTGCCTCAGTCTTGGACGGAGCGCCATGTGAAAATGTCGACTACGGCGTCGACGATTCTCCGAGAATCTGCTATATGTATGATAATCAAGGCAGTGATTTATACAATAATATCTTCCTTTATCACGTCTCATTGTGTTAAGCGCCGCCACATTCGTTGGTTTTTTGCTATCACTGCCGATGCTGCTGCTGCTACTGCAATGGAAAGAGTAAATAACCAGCGGCAGAGAAAATATTAAGTACATTTATTCATTTGCTCATGTGATTTATGCTGATTATTTAAATTTCCTGTACGCTAATCTATGGCATATTACAGCTGAATTGCGAATAATGCTCTCTTTATTGTCTTCATTTCCGGGCGACGGTATGTGTGTGCGTGTGTCTCTCTCGTAAGTCGGCAAATATTGCATTCAGTACGCAAAAAAAATCTTCCTCTTTTTTCGGCAAACATCCGCAATTGAATAAATTCCGTATTGCGCGACAAGGAAGCGTGTACAGGACAAAGCGAAACACAACGCATCCAACTCCGTTCATATCGTTGTGTGTTGTACTAATTTCGTCCCGCCAAAACGATTAACGATCAAATGATATCCAAACGACGAGTATTAACTTTCAATTTGTATAATTTATTTATGTTAAACGCAAGTTCTTAATTCTTCTCCTACTCTTTGTTGTTGTTGTTTTTTTCTGGTCTATCTCGTTCTTACTGTCGACGTCATCATCATTGGTTTGTATGGCACGACCCCAAGAGCGACTGGCCGTAATTGATGAAAATAGGGAAAAAGTTTACGTGCTGTTGGTATTTTTCTTCTGTCGCTTTTCCGTTTTTGGAACATTTCTTCAGGGTGGTTCAACTTTATCTCTATTCGATTGCGATAAACGTACGCCAAACGAAGTTTCGCAAATACATGGCACACACACACACACAAGTGACATTCAGCATGAAAGAATGGGAAATGAAAGCGCCTGTGATTCTGTACATTCTACAGAGCGGAAACTTTGCCCCGTTCCACACACTGTGAGTGTGTGCCCATTGAAAACGATTATGTATTTTGTGTGTGTGTGTGTGTGTGTGTGTGTGTTTGTGTGCATGTCAGTGTGGCGGAAAGTTACTTCACTCAACGCTATTTGATGTGATGCGAGTGCGTACACTCAATGCTAATACCATTATAGCTTTCGTCTTTTTCCCGTGTCGTTGGCCAACACAAAGATCGAAAACTTGATAAATTTAATAAACAGAAAGATAACTGTTTATAAGTTTTTGTAATGTTTCACTCTTTGCTTTGGCCCCCATTCCTTTTGCTCGTCTCCTTGCTGATTCGTTCATTCGTTTGCTTGGGCGATGGGAATTCGATGAACTTCGCGTTGTGAGCGCGCTTTTACATTCATCAGATTTCCAGAGATAAATATGTCATTTTCATCGATGATAAAGTGTATCATATGCAACGTAAAAGGCTTTTTACTGCTTCGGTCGTTTGATGTGATGAGCGTGCTATCACAAAAGGACCTTTTGATTTGTGTTCCGTTACTGATTCCATTAAGTAAAGGGTAGACTTTTAAGTCAAAATCGAATTCAAAATGAAAGATAGATGGAGAGAGAGAGAGGCTAGAAGGCTTCTGCGAACAGCGGAACGACCAAAATTGAGAGAGAAAAAAAGATAAATAAACGCTATTATAAGGATTGACAGTAAAGCACTACAAAATGCTACATTTTCTCCGCTTTTATTGAATGGCGAACACTTGTAATATGTTGAATTCATTAGTCGCAATGTTTGTCACATTTGTTGTGAGGCATCTTTTCTCTCTGCGACCTCCTCACCATCCATTGAAAGCGGCACCTAAGCGGCTGTGTTACTTTGTTTGCTGTTGACTTGTCAAAGCGAATAAGGACCTGTTCGCATCGATTTGGGAAAAATTTGTTGAAAATAGATTTTGATTTGGTGAATAAGCCGCCTCTCTCAACAATTGTTCGCGAGTTCATGGAACGATGAAAGCGCCCATTGTTACCGTGGTTAGTGATCTTTCACATGTCAATTTCGATTATTATCAATCCATTGGCATGGAGGAGAGCTTATCAATTCTCTTTTAACTGACTGACGCATTCGCATCGTACACCGACTGACGCATTCACCTTTCAAAATGATGGAGTTGGCAACGATACGAGCCATTTCGACGTCGCCCTTTGTTTGCTCTATCTTAATACCCGTGTTTTTAATCTCTATTGCGTATTTTAATTTAATTTTCCACTTGCACAACCAATCAAAAACTTGAGCACTAACTTCATCGATTAACCCAATTACCGTGTTATCTGCGCTTTTTGTGTCTGTTGTACATGGCGATGGGGGGCTGTAGTCGGTTCCCCGTTTCGGGGGTTGGCATTTCTTGGTTTACTCAAAGTTTTTTGTGCTCGCTCTTTGTTTCCGTTGCGAAGCATATTTTTGCGTGTTTGATTTATGAGCCTCGCCAATTTGGCACAGTCAAGACATTTTCTTTTGTGTGCCTTTCGTTGCAAATCGGTCCATTGTATCCGACTTTTCGGTGGCTGTGTGACAATAATCAAAACGAAGTCGCTCTAATTTATTGAATGAAAATTAATTTGGAGATTGTTTGCAAAGCACACACCATCCCAATCATTTGAATACATTAACAGCCCTGCCATTATTCATAACGTTCTACGTTTAACACACAAATACGCGTTCCACTGAATTGCGTCGACCCAAGCGATGAGGCGACAATAAACTCTTGTTTTCATCGTAATGACATGAATTTAATTTTGTTTCTGTCCTTATGATTTCAGTTTTTACTAGGGAAAAAAATGGTTTTGCGAATTGAAATCACAGATGGTTTTAAATCGAAAATTAGATTCAGGCGAATGAAAATGATTCAATGTTCCATTATTTTAATTTATCTTCAAATTTCCTTGTCTTTTCAGATTATTACATCATTCAAATAAGCGCGTGATTCGGCCAAGGGTAGCTGAAAAACGTAGATTCAATTTTGCCAAGTGGTAAGTGGATTTCTCTTGGAATTTACATAGCATTTCATCATCATTTTCTCGCAATTTGGAACTTGAGGCAGGTCAAATATGTCATTGAAATGCCAAATGCGCAGGTGGAATAGCAGTGTTCTGAAATCGAATGTATTACATTTTGCGTGTATAAAGTACGAACTTTTTTTTATGTAGGTCACACACATTTCAAGTTGATGAATTGGAATTTGGATATTCCATATTTGTCTTCAGAATGACCCCTCTTTGTCTCTCTCCCTTCTCATTTCGATAACAATGCCAGCTACCACAAATTCCTGAATCAACTGAATCCAATCGCAATAATTCATAGCATGTGCAATGCAATGCGTGATTTTAGCAAAATGTCGACACAAAATGTTTGGCTGAATTGTTGATTCTGAAAACGAAATTCACTTCCAATTATTTGGACATGAATTTATGCGAAGATAAATACCGAAGATATTTTCAATTCCATTAGACGATTTATGTGTGGTAATTTGCATAATCGCCTTCATTACTTAAGTTAAACTGATCGCCTACAGAAACTGAAGTATCTCATTTCATGTTGCAATACAATCGATGAACGAAGCGAGCGAATAAGAGAGAGAGAGCGAGAGAGCGAGAGAGAGAGGGAGTGAGGGAGTGAGCGTATGAGAGGAGGCGAGCGTGCATATAAGAGAGGGTGAGTGAGCTCATGATGGGCGGAAAATAAGCGAAATAAATAAACAAATTGGATGAATTTATCAAAATACGTGTATACGAATATTGGTATCGAAATCTTATCAGCACGTTTTGCATCTTCGCCACCTGTTTTTTTATTTCAAACCAACGACGAAGCAAGGATAGTTTCGGTAAAATTCAGGCACTCACCAGATACGTGAAAATATATTATGGTGAATTTGAATCCATAAATGGGAAAATATGTGCACGCATTTGAATAATGAAGTGAATTGTTTTCATTTTTCTCCTGAGCGAAGAAAACGAAGAATCGCATTGATCGATCGAAAACCAGTCCCAAGGATACATTTTATAAATATGGAAATGATATTGCTTATGCGGTGGATTGTAGATGGCCTGCCAAATGTACCTGATTTTCCAAATATGCGTCACGAGGGAGAGACAGAGATAACAATGATTATTATTGCTATGTCGAGATATGCAATTTATCTCAGCATGTGAACGTGACCACAACTCGATAAAGCAAATTTTCCTCGCAATACATTGTATGCATGTTCATGCTCAAGGATATATGCTGTGAGCGCCTTGATGTAAGCACACATTACTTCATAGTTCTCTCTCTCCCACTCATTCTAGGCAATCAATATATGCTTGAGTAAAGAGCTTAAATAAAATCCCCATCCGAAAAATGGTTTCACTTCATATTTGTTCGCTTCATCCATAAATCAATAACACGGAGCAAAACTTTCGGCAAAATATTGTAAATGTTGGCGGTGGTAGTGGTGGTGTTGGTTGTTATGCGCGGTGCGCTCGTGTTAATATTCACATGATTTCGATGTGCGTAGCCTGCAATTTAAATAAAAATAATAAATCATGTTACACGTTTGTTTCGTTTTCACCGCTAGCGTGATCCCTTTAATTTTGCTCCAAAAACCATCTTGAATTAAGCAAATAGCTTCCTGAATGATTTCATTTTACTAGTACACTGAATTTATTAACTGACAGCACGTTGAATATATATATCTGCATGATTGCGTGCGGTTTTTGTTTCCGCACTTTTTCTCCCCTCCCCGCCCAACTCACATTTCAGCCCAAAATATGCGAACGATTTTATGCATCAGAACGCATAATCAATAGGCAGCTATCATTTGGTGCAAACATAAATTCAGTTTTGATTATAAAATGAAAATTGATTGATTTATTGCGGCCGTCAATCATATGAAAACCTCACTTTTTCAAATGCACGCCGCACTTCTTTTTTCCTTCCCTTTACACAAACAATTGATTTGGTGAACTAAACGAACAATTTTTCGTCGATTAAATATACGATATTCAAATACAGTCAAAGCCTAAATATGCATTTGATTGCATATTGTGGATGTTTTGATGGATTTGAAAGGAAAACCGGGTTCATTTTGAACATTGTTGCCACTGTCGGCAACAGTTATCTGATTGAAACGTTTCGAACCATGAATTCTCCAATCAAAATCAAACACACAGCTAATCGTTGAGCAATGAAAGCAATCTAACTCCAATTTTGGTAGCATCCATCGAAATTTACGTTCAATTTCCATGAATTTTTCATTTTACATACCCTGCATGAGCATTCATATGATCAAAGTAGTAAAGTAGGCCATTTTAAACTCATTTTTTGTAATGAAAAGCTATTGCATTCATTAACAAATACGGAATACCACAAATGAATTCACGTTTGTAGTACAGTGGAATTTCAATAATGCAAACATTTCCAAAATTAAAATAGACTTCCATTCAATATCAAGTACGCAGAGAATGTATCAATCTTCATTGCTATAAAGTTGGTGCTCGTTGAAAGAGAGTAGCGAGTAAACACTTTTGAATTAATTTTATATTTTACTCGATGAATATTCCGGCGTAAAAATTAAAATTTTCTGCCTTTGAAAATTAACTCTCATCCAAATGAAAATAAAGTGAAGAGAACTTGAAAATAAATTCAATATGTTTACATTTTATATTTCACATCGATGGAAAAGTGCTATGGCTGCATTCATTTCTGTGTGGAAAAGAGCGTTGTTAATAAAGAGCTGAATGGAAAAAATTTGTAATTTCTACTTTTTTTGTCGTTGTTGCTGTTCATCACTCATCATGTTGCGCTCAGCGCTTGATATGCAATATGCTTGTTTACGTCGGGGAAAAAATTGTGTGCATAAGAGAGAAAAGATGGTGTATGTGTGTGAAGGCGAGGACGGTGTAAACTATTAATGGAAAAGTTAATTTGATGAAATTTTTAACGAAGAACTGAAGAGAGAGAGAGAGAGAGAGCACTCAAAATTGGCTTGATTCATTTAAAAGGACAAACGAGCGAGAAACAGGCAAAAAAAGATTGAAAGCAAACAGAACGAAATAGTGTGTTCTTTTTTTAATTGAATGCAATTTGCCAAGAGTAAAATTGAATTGCAATTTCTCATGAACTTACCCCCAAAAAACACACAGAGAGAAAGATAGTGCACTTTTCATATGGACATGCCATGAATATTCATGTAAATATAAATGCGCATATTGCAACAAAAAAACGAAATTGAAAAATCAGTCGAAAAAAAAATGCTCTGTCGATGAGTACACATCTCAGAGATGAGTCGAGTTGAAGTTTGAATATATTCAAATGAGTGCCTCTTCCTCCTGTCCACCGAATACGTTGCTCATTTTGATGCAATCGCGCCGCCATGATTTAAATGAGCGCTTCCATTGCCACCATCAGAACGGTTCGGAGAGTGTAAACGCAAGTTGTGTGGGGAAGATCCCTCAATCGTGTTTGGCTACCTTTACGATATGCAATTAATGGAAATGAATGCCAACACATACTCGCTTAATTAAGATTTGGACGGAGAGACATATATGAGCGGCAACCAAAAGCGTTTTCTAACGCCAATATGACCCATTCGAGCTTGGCTAAGATTTATTGTGTGGGCCATTGCGTGTCTGTAATCGTTGAAATGTAATCCCATGTACTCAAGACAAACTTACAAATATGCTGATACCGCCACACACCAAACATATATACATATCGCCTAGTACACTGTGTCTCGTTTAGCCGAAAGCCAATTTGGATATAGTTTTCGTGAATGTATGCCATCGTTAAAATGGTTGATGTTGGCTTTGGTGTGCACAACTTTGTCGACCTCACGACAGCATTCAATCAATTTAATTAGCCGGTAATGTTTAACCTAATTGAAATTAACGTTTCCATTATTGTAAGTCCGAACTCTATTTTTGTGTGTGTTCTTCGGTTGGCTGATTCGTGTTCCACCGAATGCTTTGCCATTATTTCGATTATTCTTTTTCCATTCGAGTCCACAGGGAGACGTCTTGTTTTTTCGTATGTGTGTCCACAATCAATGGGGGGGAACACGACAAACTATACATGTTCATATATGGCCCGCTATAAAATGCGACCATGTCACATCTCTCTCGGGATAGACGATAGCGATGGAGTTCAATTAAACAATATGCTTTCAAAATTCGTTATCGCTGGAATATTTAATTAATCATGGGTGGTTGTTGTAAACACATAAAAATAAATTAAACTATTTCAAAAGTCGTATAGAGGACAATGCTGGATTAATCTCAGTGTCCGATGTCACGAAAACACTTTGAATGAGGCAAAGAAAACGGATGAAAATGCACGTACGTACGTGTGCGCGCGACATCCGATTTTAATGTGCACAGGTGTGTGTGTACGTCTGTGTGCACTGTGCACAACGGTCTTTTTTCCAAAATGAAAAATGAAATACTGAATTTTATTCGACCAGACAATTCGAAAAGTCTGCTGTGCAATCATGGCACCGACTTGACTTCAATTTCGTTATATTATTGCTTTTATCGCAGGCAGCCGAGACACTAATTTAGCGAATAAATTTTCGCACAAAATTGAATAAAAACCAAAAGATTTTCGAGTTTCTTGTATAGGCTAATGCAACCATTCCACTTGTCATTCGAACAATATCATATTCAAAACAATTTTTTTTCTCCATTCACGAAGACAAATTTGGGGCAATAGAAAAAAAAGTCGCGCTCGTTTCTGAACAGCGTCAGTACACGATGTGTTGTGTGTCGCACGCGCTCACGCGAAAAACATAAACGAAAATGTAATGTTTGGAAATTGTTTCTTTTTTTTTGCTCTGCAGACAAAATGGCAAATATTTGCAGCTTGTCTACGCACAAATGCCATTTGTTTGTCGTTAAATGGCGGTGGTTGTTATTTCATTTTTTATTTTCGTCGGTTAGTTGACAGCGCGTCGGCCGAATGTGTTGCACTTCAGACTAATCTCTATCAGATGATATTA